ACGAATTATTCTGTACGCTCTCATATATTGCATTAAAAGTTTTAAGTTTTTGAATTAAAAATGTTTATTTTGTAGATAAAATTTTATTAAATTTACAATTGTTACCTGCACTACTGCGAGATATTTTGTTTAAATTAGTTAATTTAATCTCAGTTTTGCAATAGTTTGACTGTTGTACTCAGTTTTGCAATTAGAGAATTGCTTAAAAACTTTAATAGAAAGAAGAAGAAGATCAATAAAATATATAACACTTAATTGAAAAACCAGGATATATCGTTGCTTGTAAAACAATCCACAAAATTGTGAAAGGCAATCGCCGATACATCACTGAGTGCATAGTAATGCGTAAGATTGTATTCCGGCACCCAAATCGGTTCACCTACTGCATTTGCTGTCAGTCAAGTCCATGTAGTATTGGGTATAATCCAAAATCTGTAATTATGAAAAAGAAAAGGATCGTAACAAAAACAATAAAATTGTTGACCACAAATGTCTGAATTCCAACAAAAAATAAAAAAAATGCCATAAGACACAATAAGAACAACTAAATTACTTTGGCGGGTCGAAGTAACTATATAGTATGGAAAACACTGGTACCAGGCATTCGTTATGCGCTCCTGTGAGGATATGTTTTTATATACGTAATTCTATTGCCTTAGGTATATTAGTTCGATTTTCAGTTATTAGTTTCAATCATTTCTGCTGTGGCGAACCGGTATAATTTGCATCGTTCCTTTATTCTCCTCCAAGTCATGACCGGCACATTAGGCCACTTTAAATTTTAGGGGTACAACCTCAGTGTTTATTATTTGATCTTTCCTTAATGTGCCCTACACAGCTTTTAATTCTTATCTAAGGTAATGGAAACGTTGATTTATAAAATTTGTTTACTGTATCATAATAGTACTATTTTATGCTGATCTTCTCATGGCTATTTTATAGATATAAGATATTCGATCTATAAGATATTCTATAACCTATATCTATTTTATAAGTTAGAGCTGCCTTAATGATTGTATTCAGTATGAAAAGTGTTGTATTGACGGCTTTTGGCTTCATTACCTCCAATTTGGCTCATGAGCATATATTCTCTTGCAGACCCATAAAGTTTAAAGTTGATGTTAGAAAAATAAAACTATTGTTTTAAAAAAAAAACTTCAAATAAAATTTTGTATTTATTAAATGTAATATCGTAAGGAAAATAACGAACATTCGAAACTTAAGACTAATTAAAATTAAATTGTTCTACAGCTTAAACTCAGTGCACATAAACTGATATCAGAAAAGTTTGAAAAAATTATTTCATTTGTTTAAACTCAAATTCTATATCAAAGGACATTAACATTCTATACTTCTTATCTCAAAAGTTGTTTGCATAAAATAAAAATATCATATCTGAATTCTATTGGAAGTTGAGTTGCTGTGAAATGCGCACAATGAAACCCAATGGGAAACCAACCTTTTCATTAGAGAAGATAGTAAACCAAGCAATCGATTGCACAGTTTGGAATTTGTTTGCATACAGTATAGCCATTGCCTCAGTTTGCTTCCTTAACTAAAGTTGCTTTCTGATAGCTTTGTTTGACTCCTATTGAGATTTTCCACAGATAAAACACAGTATTGAAAATATGCAATTAAGTGCAACTTCTGTAAATTATTGCTTAGATTATTATTTTTATTTACACTTTTAAACTTTTCTAACTCTAAACAAAGGAAATGAGAAAAATTTTACAAATACATAATGTATTATGTTCTTTTTGGGAAGAAGAAGATATAACTTGTACCCAGTTAGAAAATATTTTATGGCTGTGTTTATGATTATTTAAACTATTTTATTAGAAAACCTTACAAAAAACTTTATCTTTGAAAAATTTTTAAATGACAATACCTGAAGTATTTACTACGATTATGGCAAATGCTGTAAACGTGATGAATTTATATTTTTCCGACTTATGAGTGTCCTACGCGTGATATTAAGATTTCTTTCTATTCGATGTTATTTTCTTCAGACCTTAAGTTTTGTATTAAAATATTTCAATTAAAAAATTTATGAAGTTTTTTGGTCTTATCACGATTTTAATTACTGAGACTTCGTCAAAAAATTTAAATATTTTCAATATTCCAAGTAATTAAAAAGAATGAAAAAAAAAAATGATTTATTCACAATTTTTAATTTAATTTGTTTTTTTTTTTTGTTTATTAAATTTCATTTTAATATCAGTTATGACGGTAGTCACTATTCTACTTAATAGAAACTTTTGCACTTAATAGAGAGGTTTCGAACAGTAGTGAATTGTAACAACAAAAATTTTATTTATTTTTTATTAAACACTGCTGTTCCGAGTATTGCCTAATACTTATCATCATTGGCTTTGAAATTATTTTTTATATTCAATTATTTCTAAATAAACTATATAAACGCTACCAAATTTGAAGCTCAGAGTTAGTGTTCATTAGCCAACTGACCCAAAACCGGTCAGTATAACTAATAACAAATATTATTATTTGTTTGTTTTAAACATTGTTATTGTAAACGAGTTTTTTGTATAATACTGAACTAAAAAAAAAATAATTTTATGTTTATTCAGCTGGTTTGAATATTACCAAATACTGATCATCAGTGATCTCAGTGAAATATGTTACTAGTTGGTTTTATAAGTGTTGGACGACAAGTGACAGGCTTAGAAAAATTAAATTTCTAATTAAATTAATTAGAAAAATTAAATATTCCCAAAGTAAGGCATGCTTGTCATAAGAGAGTTTTATTTGCGGTTCGGACTGGAGTTGCAGGTCTGCTACCACGGGAGCTAAGGTCCGCAGCTGTCTTGGCCAATAGAGGATAGTTCCATATAGAGAATGTCTTGATGACTATGATAATAAACTAAATAAACTAAATATATACGAGCAGAATAACTGCATTAATTTGTTTTTATTCGATGACGTGTTACATTTTCCAGCGGGTTGCTGTAACCCAAAGTACTGCAGAGATGTTAGACAGACTTCGGTCTCCATCAAGACGAAAACTACACCCAAACGTATAGTTTCAATTAGTTCCGATGAAATATGTTGGAATTTCTAAGGGTTGTATACACCAACACATATACCAAAACGTGTGTTATATGGTATTAAAATCACCGTGGTTTTAAGCCTTAACGGCAGGTAATTACTTTACGTGTATCAGTACAGAGTCCAGATTAAAACGAGGTCTTAATTTGATCTAAACTGCACGTATAGACTCTACTTTTAAAAAGACATCACTGCACAATGTTTTTTATTACATATTGCTGAAATATATGTTGAGTTTTTAAAATAGTTTAAGTATAGTTTTTTAAACTTTTTAAGGGAACTTCGCTTCAGGAACTTTTTGGAGAATTTATACCGAGTTTTTTTTATTTAACATTTTACAAACATATAAACAAGAAATATCTTATACTATGTTTACTGGTATAGTAAAGACAGACTGATCAAACTTCTTTAGCATATTTTTGTATGGATGTTGTATGGATATTGTTAGAAAAATGGCACATATTGCTGACGTAAACGTCGAGTTAAGTACAATAGTTTAAGTATAGCATTATTATAGAAGTGGATTTTTACATTGAGTACATCGAATGTAAAGGAAAAAGTTTATTAACAATAAATTTGCCAAAGTACGAATATGAAAATAATAACTCACTTAAAGTTGTCAACTTCTCGGTTTGCCATAGAATCGAGAACATTGCCAAATAAAGTGCAAAATTCTCGTGTCAACATGTGCTAAACTCGCTGATGGCACAAAAATAAATTGCATTACTCGCTATTGTGCAGGCGAGCATAAAAAGTTATAAGCAAGCAGCGATTCATGTATGTGCGCTCATGAAGCGAGCAAAACCGCATTCGTGCCAGAGTTGCATAAAGAATGCAGGATATAAAAAATGTTTAAACTTCAATAACAAAAGTACAAATAACCCAAATTTTAATAATAATGTTAAATTCCAAAAAAAAAAATATAGAAAATATATGGAGGGAAAAATGTAATAATAATCTAAATTGTAGAATGTAAAGAAAATTCTTTTTTTAAGTATTTGAAAAAAAAAATGGTTCCCAACTGTTACAGTTGAGAACACAATTTTATGGCAAAAAGCAAGAAAATTTATTATAAATATAAATGTGAATAAATAAAAAATAATAAATAAAAAAAGAGAAATTTTTTCAGTAAATCACTTCCTTAGCCAAGAAATATGGAGAATTTTTTTAAGTGTACTGTAGTTGTGATACATATAAACAAGAAAAGCTACAATAAAATATGCATAAATAGAAGAAAATTAATAAGATTGTTTCCATTTTTCCACCAATTCTTCCTGTAATTTTGAATATTATTTTATAAAATATTTTCAAACCTAAATTCATATTAAATACAAAATAAGAATAAATTATATACATATTTTTAGTGTTGGAAAAGATTGTTTATGCAAAATTTTTCATTTATTTGCAGATGTGATAAGTGGAGTAACTAAAGCTTAAAACGAAACAATGCGTACAAAAATGAAAGCCAGAGTAGCACTTAAGTTTCGCAAAAAATAATAGTAAAAGTAAAAACTGCAATTCAAATCAAATCAATATTATTTAATCAATTGAAAACAGTTGAATAATATTCTTAAAATTAATTAAACGAAAAATTCGAACTGCAAACTCTAGAAAAGCAAACTTAAAAATAAAATAAAATAAAATAAATCAACTATTACCAATCTTTCAGCTGTAAAACAAACTAGAGAAAATTTTATAGAAAGAAATACTAAAACATATAGAAATAAAATAAAAGATATAAAACAAAAGGAACACTAGTAAATATCGACTTTTTGTTCATATCAGAATTAATTGCAGCTTCGAAAATCTCTTCAACCACTTTCATTTTATTTCTAAAGATTCACAACAGAAAAGAAAGAAAGCCATAAAAATAGATTATTTCCGAAGTTTTTTTCTATAAAAAATCGAGTTTAATAAAATTAAGCGGAATTTTTCATTTTCTGCTACTTAGCCAAGAAATTTTCTTTATAAATTATGCAAATAAACGGAACATCTTCCGGACCTACAATGGCTGCTTCAGAGCCTCCAGAACCACCACCAAGAAATCCGGATCGCATAAATGCTTCACTACATAAACTCGGCGAATCCGTAAGTAGTCCAAATATGTTAATTGGTGCATAGAGTTTTATTAAAATTTTCAATCACCAAACTTAATCATTCCTAATAAAAAAAAAATATGCATGAATTGGCTCTTACATCCACCACCTCATCTTTTCATAACCAAATTTTAACTTTGAACAAAAATTTATTTTATAACCAAATTTCAAAATTTATGTATGATTTTGTTTCTTCACACAACATAAAGTTTAACTTTATTTACATACATAAAAACATAATAAACATTTTCCTTAATAATTGATAATTGGCATTAGGATAATAAAAGTTTCTCCTTTAAATTTTATCTCTGAATAAATTGAATGCATGTTTAAATATTAAAAAAGTTCTGAATATAAAATTAACTTAAATTATATTCCCCTCTTTATCATTAATAAAATGCCACTTAAATACTTAAAACTCTACATATATTTTTATATATAAGAGTCATTGAAATATGACCTCGTATTTTAAATAATTTTTTATTTAAATTTTAAACATTGCAAAAATGAAGGTTATTTGCATAATAAATATAGTATAACATTTTTATATGTACTGTACATTTTAATATTTAACCTCAATTCATTACACGCACATTTAAGAATTGATTTCATCTGTTCTTGCTAATAAATTTTTTAATAAAATTATTTATTTCTACTTTAATTTAATATTTTTGATATATATTAAATGAAATAAATTTTCCTTTTTGCAACAAATATAAAATAAAATGCATTAAATCAATGTTTTTAGTCTGCTTGAAAAGCTAAAAAATGAACTGTAGTTGTTTTTATTAGTAAATAAAATAATAAAGAAAAGAAAAATACATATGGTAAATATGTAGAAAATTATAAAAATTTTTTTTAATTAAGCAAATATATTAAGTAAATCGACTCAGGTTTTGAATTTAAAATTAAATGTATATGTGCAAATATTTTTTTTAACAATTAATTATAGAAATACAGTTTTATAAATCAGATATTTTAGTACAATATAAGTGCTTAAAAGTTATCAACATAAATATATCAGTTGAACAAATACTTTTTTTCAATATTTTTAATAAACTTAATACTATTATTTTACTAACTTTTATATGTAATTAAGAAAACCTCAGTCAGAAATTGAAATACTAATTATTGAACCAGTAGCTTACCCTAGATTGTACCAAGAAAGACGTACTAGATATTATTTTTTTGGCAGTATTAATATCCATTTATATCCATTAAGTATCCATTAAATTTAATTATAATAAGTATTTTCTGTAGATTATATTGTTTAGGGGAGGAGAGGGATTTATTCCTTCATTTCTCGGTATACGCCACTATCTTAAACCTAAGTTAGTTAGTTAGTTAGTTGTGGTGGAGAGAGGACGAATCCTCCTCAAATAGCTAAGGATGAAAGCCGTTTTGAATCCACAAAAACCTCGTAATAGTGGGTAGTAGATAGAGGGTCAAACTAGAACCAACCAGAGGCATTAACAAAGGTAAGAATCTGGCTAATGCTGATACTGGAGATATCGCTAAGTGAGTTGAAGAAAGGGACCCCTAGAAACTCAAATCTAGTTCTGGCCAGACCTGGACAAAAACACATCAGGTGTTCTGGTGTTATTTCTTCTTCTTGTCTACCAAACACGCACTACATGAGGTACCACAGGGAAGGCCAAGTCTAGCTCCATGCCGTCCTGGAGCCTTCCACAGGGAAGGCCAAGTCTTAAACCTAAACTAACAAATATAATTTTTATAGAACAAAAAGGTGAGAAGCATTTAAACTTAAAAAAACCAATATAATTTAATGAAAGTATTAAATATTTTTTTTAATTGATATACAATTTTATAGCATTAATGACAATAATGGCCATTATGGAGACGCGTCAGAAAGTATGAACACCTTAAAGCTACAATTTTACAAAACTTTTGGATTGTTGGAAGTTGTGTCTCACAAATAATAAACTCGTTGCTTTTAAAGTTGCAATAATTGTTGATTTGTCTGTCTAGATTAATAACTTCAAATACTTTCCCAATAAATAGTCAATCGATGATAAACCATATCATTAAAAAGGTGACTCATGTGGTATGGTTGAACCAATATGATGCACCGAGTAGAAATATTTTGACATGAGATCTAAATCTAGCTTTTATAATTCAGTAATTTTTGTGACAATATAGAGTGAATGTTTTGAATTCTGGAACAATTTGCAGTGAAATATATAAAATTTCGCCATATCTCGGTTACACATATTTCCATCCATTTATTTTCTTGATGGATAGATTCTTTGTTTCTGAAAAATAAAAATGTTTCTTTCCTTAAAATGCTGTTGCAATTATCCAGTAATACCATTTTTATTACCTGTCGTTAATTTTATTAGGTAATGGATATAAATTATATCATATGAATCCCAATAAACCGTTGTCATTACATCTTTCCTGCTAACATCATAGTTTCATCTTCTTTATTCTATTTATTCCATGAAATCGTTCTTATGTGTGTAGTTATTGTAGCATGTTTTTCATAAGGCAAAACTTCGATTTCATTTGTAAAAATTATTTAAAACATATTATAGGAAACGTTTTTTTAAATCTTTGTTCGTTTAATTTGTCTGTGGATTTAATAAGACATGCACTTTCATTGATTAGTTAAAGTAATACAGAGCACACTATAGACGATTTTTTGCGTAACAGTCTCCATGGGACATCTAAACTTTAAATAAATCCAACATCTCTTCTTCAAAACTTGAGTAAATTGGATTATTGTCACATGGCTTTCTCATGGCGGATCAAATATTCCCATAGTTCACATTAGACTAGATTCGATCTATTAAGTTGCTTAAACTAAAACGTATTCAAGTCAGCACTACGATATCGATGCTGACACTCCACTGCATACTTCAAAGGTATGCAATAAGATTTGGTCTATCATCTCATGACTTTTGTCGTGGTTGTGGCTCTGTAGATGAGATAAACTTTGTATTCAACCTCATGTATTAGCACCCATCATTGGTTAGAAGAAGTTTCAAAACTGTTGGTTTCTTTTTTCTTAATGACGTGACAAAACTGTTATGTCGTGTATTATTTTATTTTTTTAGACTTAAGTTTAATTTATAAAAGAGATCCACAATTCCATGCATTTAGAAAGTTGAATATTTAGTAGGAGTTTAAGAGTACTTTCAGTAAAGTAACCTTTTCGTATTTTTTTGATATATATAATTACACTATAACAGAAAAAATTTTGCAAGCTTTTACTGGAATCTCAGTTAACGATTAGTTAACTTGATTAAAAGTTCAGTTATCACGAGTTCATCTATTGCAGAAATGTTCGCAGATATTGTTATGGAGGTAGAGGTCTAATTGTTAGCGTATTCCATTTGATACATAAGTAATTATATACCCCATATATAGTGCAAATAAATTCGATGTCAAATAAAATTAAATGACTTTTTCATTAAATTTACTACAGACTATTATATTTTATTATCACTCTTTAGGAATCGAAAGCAGTATTAACTACTAGTGTTATATAAGTACTTGTAAAAGTCGTAAGATACTCTTATACCGGCAGTGTTCTGATTTTATTTTGTATATATTTTGTTCTATATTGTATACTTGATATATAAACAAATATATTCTTTACGCAATAATCACAAATTTTTAATGTCTTTTGTATGGCCACGTAAGAAACTTATATACCTATACTATACATACCTATATACCTTATATCTATATACCTTACCTATATATATGAGTATATATGGGTAGTACTGCATTTTAAGATATATTCACATAGATATATTCACAAAGATATAAAATTCACAAATATTTGCAAATGTTGACTTCTTGAAAGTAATAAGACGTCATACATGTAAATTGAATTTCCTCTTCTGTAGGGAATAAATTCATAAAATACTTAAATATTTGCTTATCATTTCAAAAGAAATTATTGAAAATAATAAATAAACAGAAACTTAATATTTTAATAGCCTTGCACACTTTAAGCTATTTAATGGACAGTTCTATCAATAAAATCAGCGATGAATAAATTTTTCTGTTTAAATAAATTGCGAGGGCTTAACATAATTCTCTGTAATATGAAATGAGAAAGTGCAATCAAAACGAAGATATTTAAAAAATTAATATTCTGTAGTAAACCTTCTTAAAACATATTTTTAAATATCGGAAAATAAGGACAAATGAATTGTATGCTTCCATTACAGTGTGTACTTTCAGATAAAAATAAAGTTATTACTTGGAAGCAAATGTGCACATTTGCTTCGCAATTGCAGAAAATAATCGATGACAACGTTAATCCGCTTATGTAGCACTACATGTCCTTTTATGCTTTTTTTACACAGTTTTTATTTTATGTTGATTTTAAATCCTATCAGACACACTTTCGATATTTTTGACTTGAAATTCTTCATAACATACTCGTATATTGTTGTGAATATTTTAATTACGAAAACACACCAAAAAAATAAAAAAACAATTAAATTTTTGACATATCATTTAACTGAAATTTGTTTTAATTATTGTTTCAGAAAGCCATAAAATCATTAGACTCGAGCACTGTTGCGATAAATGACAAAACTGTGAACAACAATAAACCCTTAAAACCAATTTTATCACTCGATAACAATATTATACAAACAGCCACAGGCACCACAGTTACGGCTACTGTTACTGCTGTTAACCCGAATTCACCATCGGTAGCTATCTTTAATAAACGTAACGATATAACAGCGGGTGGTGATAGTAGCTCCCCATTAAGTTCGAATGGCAGTAATCACACTCTCACCTCTCCAATGACGATTGATAATCAGTTGCAACAGCAACAGCAACAACAACAACAACACCAACAGCGTTTAAGCTTCCTTAGTAAAAGCGACACGCCTGGCCAACTAATGACACAACAACAACAGACAAATGGACCACAATCAACTTTGCATATGATAAATGGTAGTACAGGAAACGGAAGTGGTGCATTGAATTCAAATAACTCAAACACAATTGCAGCGAATCACCTTTTAGCGCACACCACTGCAGGTATGTGAGACTTTTTTGTAATTATCTAAGTGTTTTTTCGCTTAATTATATGTGTAAAATTACTTAGTTTATTTGTATATTTATACCGTTTGCTTGTTTGTTTAAAGATCTACTTTTACTATATAGCAATTACTATATACATAAGTATAAAATTTGATACTTTTGAGATAATGGTAAATTTCAATCCCTTTCCATTATATTCGTACTACACTTTCGAGTAGTTTTGGTTTTGTGTTTATCCATCCATTTACTATCATAACTAATAATTTTCGTTATAATATTTTAATTTTTTATTTTTATTTCTATTTTCGGTTTATAGGCCGCAGAGGTTTTCATAACTTCTATTAAATTATGCGTTATGAAAATATTTCAAAACTGAAAATATTCGTAATTCCATAAGAATTCCATTTTCACTGTATATTCAATTTTTTTTTGCATATTTTAAATCTCACTCAATAGCTATATTATCTATGGTACCCTTATAAAATAAACATTTATTCCATTTAATTACCAATAAAATATGTGCAATTGATTGTGGGCACCCGTTGCGTATGAGTAATTTTTCGGAAAATTATAGTCCATTCAATTTTCTGCTCATTTCAAATATCAAACTAATTTAAAATATGAAATAAAATAGATTCAAAATTTATTTAAGTTTAAAATTGATATATAGAAGTTGTGCACGTTTTGATCTTTATTCTTTTAATGAGAAATACAGGATATATTGGGTGTTGTTATTCATATATGCATAAGGTATGTATTTATTGAAGCATTTACAGATATATTTTGTCTTCATAAGTTCTTAATCTTATTGTTAGTTACTCTAAAACAACAGATCTTAACTATAATATAGTTACTGCTTACCATCACAGTTTTTCTGTCTTTTTTTAAGGTTTCGTTTTTAATTTGTAAATATTATACCTTTTTAGTCGAGATAAAACTACAAAGATTTTAAGATAATGTATGAACATTATAAACTCTTGCGCTGAAAATAACTTACAGAAGTTATGGGTTCAGCTTCCACTTTTTAAAAGAATGTCGAAGAACAAACTTAAGCTGTGATATTAATGATTTTCAATATAAAATTATAATATGGTTGACTTATGATTAGTACATTATTAATAAAATATAGACTGTATTATTAGCTGCTTGAGAACTTAAAATGATAACACAAGACAGAAATATTATTGGAATGAAATTTATTTTATTATAAACAGGTAAATAATTTCGTCATTTTTTTAAATATAATTTCCGACATATGTCCACCGCTGCTACGAGTTACATCGTCCATTCGATTAGTTCAATTTTTAAGTTTTTTTTTGCAATAAATGTGTCGTCAATGTAGACATAAATACTGGTTTTTAATGCTTCAAGAGTTGCTGGTTCAACATAAACTAATGACTTAACATAAGCCCATAAAACGTAAATGCGAGGCGTTAATTCGCACTAACGAGGAGGCTAGTTAACAGGATCAGTTCTGGAAATAAAGTTATTACCAAATTGATTTCGCAATATATCGATTGTTAAGCTGTATAGCGCGGAATGACTAGTTGTACCATCTTGTTAGAACCAAATGTCGTTTATTTTTAACTGATTAATTTTTAAAAATAAAAATTCAGTCAGCATGGCTCGATAGTGCTCACCATTCAACGTAACGGCTGCTCCTAGCTGTTTTCTCATTTTGAAAGAAGTTAGGAGCGATGAACCCGACAGCGTGCTAACTGCACCAAACAACATAATGGTTATTCGTTAACGGCTTGAGGATTATCTTTACATCATATGTAGCAATTTTTCTTATTGACGTAGCCATTTAACCAGAAATGAGCTTCGCCACTTAACACAATTTTTCGACGAAGAGCTTTATTAACTTCGTGATCGGATTTATTTTTTTCAAAGGAAATTTCTCCAAATTAAAAGCATTCTTCTAGCGTTAGACGATTCATGATGAATTGTCAAACCTTACTGAACAGAAATGTCACCCTCAGCTGTCAAACCTTAATTATCGATATCGATAGTTCTTATGCAGCTAAAAAAACACGCTATAAAATCATCTTATTAAAATCAGTTGAAACTGCTTCAAAAATCAAACAACTGTGTGACATTTCTATAATATATAATAATTTCTACAATTTTTGCAAGAATACTATATTACATATGGAAGCTTCGACTTTGTAAATTTTTTTTGATTTACTATTAACAATTTTTTAACAATTTTAACAATCTAATTATTAGAAAAAAAATATTTTTAATGCTTTCTTAATCCTTTTTATACACTTTCTTGACATATGGTACAAATTTGAGCGCCATCTGTCAATTAGTTTGTTTACAGCAGCTGTTAATGTGAGTCTACCTCAAGTGCATTTAGCGATTTTTGCTATGAAAAATTCTTGTTCTATGTGATTTTTGGACCAAACACGGCACAACTGTCATCGCTCAGGCGCCATATTCGCCAGATCTGGATCCGTGCGACATTTTTCTGTTCCCGAAACTCAAATTGCCCCTTCGTGGTAAGCTTTTTGAGTCGATTGAATCGGTAAAAGAGAATTCGCTGAAGGAACTAAAAGCCATACCTTAACGGGCCTACGAAAAGTGTATGTAAGATTGGGTTAAGCGTTGGCATATGTGTATCGCTTCAGAAGGAGCATATTTTGTAGGAGATAAAATTAATTTGGAATAAAATTTAAATTTGTGTTTTATTTACAAAATCCGAGTACTTTTTGAGCAGAAGGTATATGTAATTGTATTTAAAAAGTCATTAACCCACTGCAATAGATTATTATTATCTCTGAAATCAACCCATTTTTACACTTCACTGTTTAAATATTTAGAAAGTCTTGATAAGAAACCATATGTAATTATTTTTAAGATAATCAGAACCCTTTAAAAATTGGTGTTACTCAACATCACTTTTGCTAATACACTTATTTACAAAAAAAAAAGAAAAAAAAAATTAAGGTTACATTTTATCTACTAAAATGCATCAAATTTTCTAGATATACTATAAATTGTAAAACTGCTAGAGACAAGTTAGTTATATTAACTTGTTACTGGTTTTATTTCCATTTGTATGTATTTTTAACCACATATGAAATTTGCATGTAACTGTGTATGTATATGAGTCCGTAGTATGGAATCTTACTTGACCGATGGAAAACTATTTTAAAAATGTTAAAGTTTGCACTTATAAAAAAAAAGCAGCACCACAGTAAATGCAAAATGCATTGAAACGTGAATAGCGCCCACTCACTCAACATGAACCAGCACTGTAATGAGTTTCTTGCAAAGTGCATTTTCGACAATATTGTAGTGTAATTCATTTGAATAGCATTGAAATGATTGCTAGCTTCCAATGGGCACTGCAATGCCACATATATAGACCACAAACGGAATGGTAGCTCTATGAGTGCGAGTGGGAGTGGGAGTTTAATGGACACGCATATCCGATGCTTGTTTAGGCCATACAAATGTGTGGGTCCCTACAATGAATTTGCATATGCCTGCTTAGAGTGTGCACCATTAATATGATTCCGTGTTGATGATAACGTTGCCTTACTTTGACCATTCATTTACAAACATTGCTTAAAATTTGTGAAACGAAAAAATAGAACGCAGGCAATATGAGCTCATATGATAAAGTAATCCGGTATGCATGGTACATGTTTATTAGAGCTTCATTTATCAGCAGCCAGCAGCAAGTGGCTCCTTTATATGACAAACTATAGGTGTCCTCCATACAACATGAAACAATGTTTTCTTTAAATGCTATAGTAGGATTCTGCATCAATGTAAGACTATACCATGCTATGCCTTCATGCATGGAAAATTTAATCTAAATGGAGGAGCTGGTATTTGCAAATGATCAGCAAAGCATGTGTCTTACGCTCTTTATATTTGGTTTATGCAGATTTGTTTATGTGACAGGGGCAGACCTAAAGCGGATTTCAATGCAGATTGAATTATAACACTCAGTGAATGCCCTAAAAACGAAAATAAATATCTTCATACTTCAGTTAGAAATTGACGTTTTAATTAAAATAGAATTTATGATACTTTCATCGAGGCACAAATTTTATTTAAAAATCTAAGGAATATTTGATTCAATTTAATCTTGATAAATTTATAGGTTTTCAAAATTTTATACTTTTAACAGTAAATGCAGTAATCTTACCTTCTGAGTTGATGAGAGAACTGTATTCAATCAATATTACTAACTTGAAAATTTGCTTCATGTCAGAATGGTTTAATGTAAGATTGTTATATATAGGGTGCTTATAAATTATACATAAGGGATTGGTCTTCTTCCTACCTGGGTAGCATTGTGACAAATAAGAGCGAAGTTGTTAAAGAGCGAAAGTCGCGTTTAGCAACTTAACAAGATAGCTATGACGATCCAGTAAACTCAGAAAGCAAACCAAACTTTAACACTAATGTGAAATCTCTCTTGTACCACGGCTATAAAATAGGGAAGCACTCCAGATGTATAGAGATAAAGATGAAAGTGTTTGTATGGTGACCAGATGGAATATCAAATAAACTTCTGCTGAACCAAATGACTCAAAAAGTAGCATTAATTGAGACAAATATGAGAAAGAAGTTAATAGGCCATACGCCTAGGCAACTAAGAGATAACATAGCGAGGCAAACGTTGCCATGTAATCCACAACAGAAGACCTAGTGCGCCAGCGAAAATGTCAGAAGAATGGTCGGAAGTGAGCACAAAATAGTGTCAGACTTAAAAGAATTATTAAGGCCTTATGCCCCACTGGGGGAAGTAGACAACAGTAGTAGTAGCATAAATAAGACATAGGAAGCAAACAAAATATAAGCATATTTAGCGAATACTACTTATTTGACGTTAATGAGTAAAGATTTCGATCGACTGGTTTTTACAAAAGCGTATTAGTAAATTCATCTCAGAGCTCTGTTTCCCCATTGTTTCAAGTATATAATGCCTTAAACTGTATTTTAATAGTTGTTAAAGCTGAAATCTCTGTTAACTA